ATAATACCAGCGTCGCGAAAACAATAGACTACGAGCAGTCTCCCTTTTTTCTTGTTCCATCGATCAGAACACGCAAATGACCACGCGCGTGACTGAAGGCGCGAGACGAAAGAGGTTCATTTTTCTTTTCGGGCTGCCGCCCTCATTTCTCGCGTCTCTCGCCGCTCGCGCGCGCGTGCACTCTCCTCACTAAATCTGAAAAAAAGAGAGACTGCTGGCAGTTTACGAGGTCAACAGACGCTGAAGTTTTCGTTCGCCCCATGTAAAGGAATCCGGAAAATTTTTGCTTGTCTAGTGGAATCCGGAATTCTGAGCTTTGGAATCCAGAATACTGCTCAAAGAATCCGTAATCTCACCAACGATTGGAATCCAGAGTCCAAGTTCCAGTGACAAGGCATCCGGAATCCATGGCGTGGAATCCAGACTACTGGATTCCCTTACGGCGTGGGGCGATTTCACGATCGCTACACTTTTCGGGAGCCTAGAACAGGCTACTAGATTAGATAGATAACGGTGTGGAATTATAAATTTATCAGTTTGTCTAGTCAAACTGGATTTGCCTCTTGGGTTAGTCCTTATTGTAAACAATTTATTTTCTTGTTGTAGAAGCACATATTTTGTACTTTTTTCGCTGTAATGCGGAAGGTAATTTTGTAGAAATAAAGTTGAAGAATTTGGATTACTAGAACAACGCGAGTACAAAAACATCATTTTAGCTTGTTAAAAAGGGGCAGTGTTGGGTATATTAGGGTGATTTTTCATCAGATATATTCAAAATTGATTTTCTTTGATCGATTTGATTTGATTTATAAGAACACGGTATTATGTTGAATTTTTTTCCAGTTTTATGTCAGTAAACCATAAGACAATTGAAAACTACATCACGTAGAGACTCGTAACTGAGAGTCGTCGTGATAATTATATAAATCATTGTGATGTACCATAATAATCGTAAAACAATTTGGCTGATAAAGAATTTTTAATTTTAAGTTTTATTGGGATTTTCACAGTGTTACCAAAAAATTGCGCTTAATGAAGCAGACTTCATTCTCAAGTTAGATGGCCTTTTTTCGGATGGAGGTTGAAGCTGACCTAGTATACATTTGGATTCAAAACTCTCTCTCACACACAGTCCCTAGGTCTCATCATTCCACGCGGCCAATGCGTCTCGGTTCACGTGGTCCGAGCGAGTTTTCGGCCGTTCGTCTCACATTCCCCGCCCGAGCTCGCGTCTCCCTGCCGGCGCTGACGGGACTTGGGCGAGAACAAGTCTGAAAATCATCTTTCACTGGAGTGTTGCTTGGTGTGCAATTCAGTAGGTAGGGAAAAACTCAAGAGAGTTCAAAATTCAAACCGTAATACAATCTTTATTGTTATTTGCTAAAATGCTTAGCGAAAACAAACAAAGGACAGTACTGTCAGTGACGTAAAACTACGTTCTTGTGGAAATCATATTGTGGTAAGTGATCATGAATAATCCGGTTTCTTCAAACTGAAGAAGAACGGGTTGGTCTCGAAGTAATTTTATATTTATCTTGTGCTATTTCACTTGATGCATTTGGGTTGGTTTTCCTACTAACAGTACACTGTTGCCTCTTTAGAATCTGTATATGAAAATCTTCCGGGTTACCGTTCAAATGGGAAAGAAATTGGGGAAAGTATCAGAACCGGCTGCCGTCTCAGAAGTCTTTGGTAGCGCAGTACAAGAACAGGCTGCTATCGTAAAGCGATGGACGCTTGTAGTAGTACAGCAAACGTTTCTTCCAGACTTTCCAGGATTTTGCGTTCTTCAGCTTGGGAATGGGTCGGTTGAGAAGTGTAATAGGAGTTCCTGATTTATAGTGTTCAGCTACCCAGTGTACCGCCTGGTAGATACCATTAGAAGTGGTGTCCAATAAACATTCACATAGATCATCCTGCGAATGAAAGCACAGCTTTCATGGATGATGTCATACTAAATTAACATTACTGTGTGCAAATCCCTTATGTGAGCGAGTAATTGCCATGGAAATTCAAAGTGGCGGTGAGAAAATAAGAAATGCTAGCGGCCCGGCAAGGTGAAAATGAGTGGTAGTGAAAAATAAAAGCGAACATGAACACAGGAAACAAAATATTGGGTAAGCACATACGACAATTCCTCCATAAAAATAATGGGTAACTAGGAGGTTTGACGTTTTAGTCCTACAAAACAGCGTTGTAGTCGTGCAAAACAAGGGGAAGACAAAAAAACGTGCTGCACGTGCAAATTTTTTTTGCTAATTAGAAGAAAAAGTGTGCTAGACGTGCAATTTGTTTTTTTTGTTAATTAGATCTATTAGTCTTGAAGCCATTTTCATTGTTGTCCCCTTTTAGCATTACACGATTTTATTTCGCTTTTAGCCCTGGCTAAATCTATATATTTCGTCAATGCACAGGGAACCCATAAGTTAGCTAAGCGCACGCGCATAATGAGTGCAATCAGTTTGAAGTTCTTGATGCAGTTTCATGGCGCGACAGAATAACGATTCTCTCCGCTTGAGGACGAGTGTATTGTCAACACACTTTTTTAAGACTGTAAGTTGTTACCTGGGGCGGGTTTTGTTCAACTTCCTGGTAAACTTCTCTGATCCTATGCCAGACGTCAATCATGTGAAACTTGTGAACGATTCGCTCAGTAGAAGACCAGTTCGGACCCAGACCATCATCATCCAAACCGATGCGGCTTAAAATGGCGTCCATAATGTTCATTGTCTCCGTGCT